ACAACCTATTTAATAGCTCATTCTCAATTGTAACTCGATTTGTAATTGTTTTAAGAAGAGATTGATGAGTTTGCCAACATAGATGGGTCAATATATGATGATTAATAGGCAATGGGAGAACACAAGCTCATCTTTCACCACACCCTGAATATCCAAAGTAAGGAACATATTTTTCCTGAAGCCTGGTTTCTAGGAACAAGGCTGAGGAGAGACAAACCAATCTGCCAACCGTGCTCTAAATTAGCATGAATTGCAATTGCTAGTATTTCCCAGATGTCTCCACTTGAAAACTACTTACTCCATCTTTGTTTTATTAAATTACCAACAACAAAAGGAAAGAACAATTTCTTTAAAATGGAATTTGATATGTGAAAGAAAGGAATGGAATGTCCCCTTAGCAGAGTATTATTCATGAAAGGAAACACATTTGGTTTTGGGAAGAGCAGTTGAAATGGTCTAAAGTGACACACAAGCAAATGCCAGAAGTGCATACTCATTTCTGAAAGCTGTTTTTTCTGAGCCTGAGTGTTTAGATTTCATTCACAAATAAGCAGTAAAATCCAGTATATATTACTGACAGCCTCAGAAATAAAAGAGACATTTTATGCCTGCACCACCCTGAACACACTCAACAGACGAGGCTGGATGCTGCTGCACAAATTTGTGCATTAGCTATGTAATGTTACACAAGTCACAGGGGAGTTCCTCTGCCAGTCTCCCATCATATGGTCCCTCTAGACTCCTCTTTGGGATATTCCCATATTCCAGTAGCACTCAGGTGTCCAAACCAGCTAACTTAGAACCAGCAAGTCAGACCTTCAGCTCTCCATCCTCTTTGCTTTGCTTAAATAGTTCAGAAGAGAAGAGCCAAAGGCATTTGGGATCCTAACTAACAAACTTTGCGATATTATTGAGGCCATGTGAGGAAGATTTAAGCATTGATAAGTGCTGAAATTGATGCTATTGAAAAGAGATCGGAATTCAAAACTGCATTTATCAAGTGACAAAGAAAAGATTTAGAAAATCTTGTATGTCAGAAATCCTTTTAGCAAGTAATTCCTGTTTCTGTAAAAAACCCTCATCATAGTTGAGAACCTAATATTAAATAAAAATAAATTATAAGGAGGTAAATAAAGGCTCGTTCTGAGCTAGCCCATAGTCTCTTACTTAGAAAAGATACGTATAACTGGAAAAGTCAAACTAGGTAAAAAGATACGTAAAAGATACATCTTATTTCTGTTGTTGGTCAAAGCATGGTTCATTGTGGAACAGAATACAATGTGGCTTTTGAATTCCAGATAGCTACTACATCCCTTACGCTTGATACTCACTATTAATTCCAGACGAGGTGGTTTAACGACACAGCCATGAGATGTTTACCCTAACAGGAAAGGAATTGTAGGCAGACATCCTTTTATTGCTGGATAACAGAGCTGTGGACACTGCTGGAAATGAGTTTGTGCCTCACAAAAGAGTGTTTAGGGGGAGATTAGCACCTCTTCTAGGCAGCTCTCCCTTTCCCAATCCATCAGTGGTGTTTGGAGCTGTTTGTAAGGGAGGGAGGGTTTGAGTCTGGCCTCAAGGCCAAAATAAAGCACTTAAGGACACACTTATCTTGAAGCATCTAAATAGGCCAAATCTAGATAGAATCCTAGTGCACAGTGCATTTTTGGAACAATTCTTACTCTAGTCTCTAAATCTCTCATTTCCTTTGAGTAATTCTGTCAGAAAATAAGAAAAATAGAGCAGTATTTGGACTGCAGGATTTAGTTGTGAGGGAAATAACTGCAGTTTTGAGGCAACTGAATATTCATGCTGCGGTATCTGCTTTTATTAGTTTCATCTGCTGTTCTCCACATAGCCTTTGCTTTAATATTTTAACTAACTTACTGGGGGGGGAAAAAATAACCACCCAGCTGCATTACTGCACAGTTTCTAGGGTTGATAACTGCCCAGGAAAATGAGGCTCTTTCCTAATTTCTGTATCTCCCCCTTCTTCCTTTAGGGCCGTGCTTTGATCATGCTGTGTGCAGCTGTTCTTGAAGCAGAGTACATCCACTCTGTCTTGGGAACAGCAGGCACAATCTTCTGTGTCTGTCACTTCCTACAAGTTTATCATTTGGGCTGATGCTCATCTTTCCACTTCCTACAAGCCACCAAGTCTCAGTGCTGGTGCAGTTCGTTTGTCCTGTTAACCCAAGGAAGTGATAAGGATCGATGAGCTCCACACTGTCTCAAGGATCAGGAAGATTCTGTTTGCCCTAGGGCTTCATTTCCTCTCTGCTTTATATAATGTTGACTTTGAGCAGTGGTTATCACAGCAGGCATCACACAGCCAGGGAGGAGAGCAGTCACCAGGGATACTGCCTGGCTCCTGTGAGCAGCACTGGGGTACAAACAGCAGCAAAGTGGATTCTTGTTTGTCTTTTTTTCACGTAGAATTAGAGCTGTTGCTTTTGCATTAACCCTAATTAAATGCATATATTCAGAACAAACCAGTGGTAGGTTGTGATGTATTTTGGCTGAAGTGAGCTCTCTCATGACTTGTCCTTTTGCATGCAGAGTTACTTGTGCAGCTTTACCTGTTCTTTACCTTGCAGAGGATAAACAAGCACAAATATTTGAATAGCAAGCAGTCCTGTACTTTCTGCTGAAAAGAGCTAATTTTTAAATGCTGTAAATCTGTAATTTTAAAGCTGATCTATGCAGACAACTGCAGACAAGATATATTATTTATGAAGCTTCATCAAAGACTGTAGCAGCTTGCACAAGAAATTATAAATATGTAGGAAACCTGAGGTTGCTGGAGTTTATGTAGGTTAAATCCTGTAGCTTTCAGACTGCATTTTTTACTATCTCAGCTCCTTTACCTCCCATTTACCTCAGGTGAGAGCTTAGCAGTCTTTCAAAGCAGGTCCTGGGACAGACAACAAATCTGACCCTGGAGGGTGTGAAAAAATAGAGCACGAGGAAGTAGATCAACTTATGAATGATTCATGGAGACAGCGAGTTTGAAGGAAGTGGAGATGATGTCTGGGGAAATACGATGCAAAACATGAGAGCCTCCTGGCTACCAGGGGAAATACAAGAAATAGAAGTACAAATCTGAAAGGGAAGGAAAGGACTGAAGGGAACAGCAGCGAAAAACTAGCGGAGAGAGAGTAAAAAGGCAGAAAATAAAAGCATAAAAAAACCCTACAGATGTAGGTGGAACTTTAAAGCATGAAAGAACAGATAGGATATACAGTCTAATGCATATAAAGTCAAAAAGGCAAATAAAGCTGTGGAGATATCTCCAGGGTTTCATTTCTAGGTGACAAATGTATTCAGTGTGTTTGAAAAGCATTGTCCTCCCTGGTTCAGGGAAGAGCACAGAGCATCAGTTAGCATTGCTGCCTACATACTAGTCTTCATTTAGAAGAAAAAAGAAAAGCCATCATTTTAATCAAATCATTAGTGAAAAAGTGCAGTTATCCCTGCTGAATGAAACAGGCCATGTTGGGGATCCTTGTGAGCTCTTACTCAAAACTGAGCCAATCCCTTGTCCTTTATTTTGGATATGCACATTGCATGCAGGAACTGGGAAAGGCCAAGGCAGATGGAAGCAATTGCAGGATGAATCCTATTGCTCTTTCAATCATTAGAAAATATCTATGTTGAATAAAGGTCCCATCTTGCATGGGAGAGGAAGGAAAAACTCGTGATCATGTCTAGCATATTTGTAAGTTAAAACATCCTTTTCTTTCTTCCTTCATAATGGAGCCTGAAAACTGTGACACAGTTTCTACCTGAAAGGGAAGTAGCTGTGGATTACTCTCTGAAAGGTATTTGGTGGCATATTTTGAGGAACAGGTTGTATAGATCTGTTCTAAACTGGAAATGGGAAGAAGTGTGGGATAAGTGATTAATGGGGTAGAAGTGATAGGAGACAAAATTGATCCACTGGCTTTTTCTTTTTGAAGCTGTGCTGAACAATCCTGGAGCTGTTCTACAGTTACCAGTTTGTGAGTTCTCTTCCTGAATTCTGGAGTTTTGATAGCCTTACTTGTTGCTCTTGGTACCTATGGGTGTAATTCCTTCTCAGAGGGTTTCTATCTGCTTCACTGTGCCAAGTCCTGGTTCAGTAGCTGTAATGAACTGTTCATATTGGAGAACTGAAGTTATCCCTTTCCAGATTTTGAAGAAGTAAGGACCACACTAGAGACCAAGGCATGAGGAGGGAAGAAAATGAGCCTTTTAAAAAAGAAATGTAAAAAAAAAAATTAAAAAAAAAATCTGTCTGTCTGCACTGAGGGCAGTCCTTGGTAGGAAGCAGCTTTGGGAGCTCATATGGTGCGTGCAGGCCAACACATTTTCCAAATCAAAGTTTTCAATCTAAAGCAGGCTCACAGATGGTTCTAATGAGCTGGGCTTTGAGATACACTGGGACTTGAACAAAAATAGTTTAACTCCTAAGACACTAACATTTTGCCATGACTTTCAAGTAGAACACTTCCAGAACAATTTTCTGTGCATATTGAAATTTTATATATATATTTCTAGTCTTCATAAAAAAGAGGGTTTTTTTCCTTGCACATACTGTACAGTACAGTATCACAAAAGCATTGAGCAGGACCATGTTTACACATTGACCAATGCTTCTTTCTCCAGCACTTTTCAAACCTCTCAAAAAGTTGGTTTTGATCAAATGGTAATTAAAAAGGTAAAGATTGGCTGTGAAAATTAAATTTTTGAAGCGACGTATTATAGTACCCTGCTAAAAGTCTTAGTTATCACTCTAGTAATAAAAGCATCATCGAATGGTTTATAGCTTTGTAGCACAGCAAATATTGATTGAATTGTTTTGTTTATATTATTATCTGTACAAAAATAGTAGGAATTAATTTATGGTTTTTTTATGACATGGATTGAAATGACATTCTAATTTATACCATCTCAAAACTATGTTCTCTGTGGCACTTAAGCTTTGAGAGACATCTCATTTCTTTCTCTCATCTCAGGTCTGCCTTATGGATGGGAAGAAGCTTACACAGCTGATGGAATCAAATATTTTATCAAGTGAGTAGTTCTGGGGCAAAGGAGTCAGAGCTGAAATTAAAGCACATCAAACTAAACACATTTTTTAACCTAAAATTGATGTTAAAATTATTCAAATAACAAAAGTCGTTGTATGTTTTATATACATCCTTATTGGATTCAAGTAACAAAAGTTGTTGTATGTTTTATATACATCCTTATTGCCAGCATCACTTGCTCTTTTCTGGGGTTTGTGACTTCACTGACCAGTGAGTTCTAAAGGGCTTGGTTACAAATCCAGCTGAAATTCAGTGAGAACTGTCTCTCTTAGTCCTTCAGATACCTTGAAAACTCTTGTTAGCAATGCTGAGAACTGTCCCCAGTTAGATGTTTCACTCTGTAATGAACCCAGGAGATAAAAAAAGAAATCTCCTCCCCTAAATAGTTTACAAGTGTAAATATCAATTTAAAAAATGTCCTAGTATTTTGGGGAAGTGGAAGAACTCTTAGAATTCTTTTAGATTTTTCAGGAGGCAATGCTCTGGTTTCACCTAAATCTAGTTACTGATGCTTTTTTTCTGACCTCATGTCCTGCCCTGTGTGGGAATAAGCTGTTCTGTTGCTGCAGGAGGATGAAGGAACAGGACTGAAATGATTTCATTTCTAAAATGATCCAGAGATTTCCAACTGCCTTACCATTTATTTAGAAGAAAAGTCACTGCAGACTTTACACCTCAGATGATAAATGGAGACTTACTGACTCGAGTATCACAGAACATTGGTGTTTCTTGGTGTCACTGGCAGGTTAAGTGACTTTTATTCCACTGATGATGCCACTGGAGCTACACTAGCAAAAGCCTCTCTCATATTCTGCATATATATTATTTGTTGTTCTTGATTTCTTCCCCATGAAAATTATTCCTATAGTCTCCATAGGGTTTGCTTTCTCCATTTTTTCCAGGGGTTGCCTAAGATGAAACCATTCTCTTTTTAGCTGGGTTATTAAAATTATTGGTATTACCTAATCAGACTTTCACTGGCAGGTGTTGGGGACAGACACTGCAACACTGAGCAGTCACGATGCACCCACCAAAACCAGTGCAGAGAAAGATCTCTGCATCAGGATTACCTGATTTTTTCAGAAGATATTGCAAATGTTAATTTTTCAAAGCTCTCCAGAGGTCAGAGGAAAGGTGACAAGGAGAAGGTGTTGCAATTACACAGTGTCTGAAGCCTAAAGGAAACCTCTACATTAACTTTAAAAGCAGAAATCATTTGGAGATGTGATCCTCGAGGGGAAACCAAACAAAGCACTAATTAGCTTGGGCCCTTGTTATTTGCTTTTTGCCTTTCTTTGTGTGTAAGATTTCCTTAGTGAGAATTTCTCTGAAAGACTGGGGAAAAGGTGTAGTGCAAATTCGTTATTTACAAAAAAAAGTGAAAGAAAAGATTTGTATTCTATCCAAATCCAAAATGTGGTTCATACCCTGTCAGTGTCTTACGGGTAGAGAATTGAAAGCTTTTTATGAAGTGCTTGATAAAACCCACAGGGATTTGTTGTATATTGTAGGAAATAGTTTGTTTTTAATTGTATTCTCTGATTCTTGAAGAAAAATGCCTGAAAAAGAAGCAGCTTTGTGGTGTCTGTGCCAGGAGCTTCAGGAAGTGAGTTGTCCTGTGTGCTGTTGTTTTTTTCCAGAATAGAGTGAAAATTAATTCATCTAATAGGGGTTTTTGTATTATTTCTCTAAAAGAATGAAACAAGGAGTGAAAAATATCATTCAACTCCATTCCATCTATATCATGCATCTAATTAATAGCAAGTTATTGTAGCTGCTGAAATTCTCAGATTCTTTCATACAGGTGCCAGAAAGACACTGTTTTGTAGGTGGATTTCATCTAAAAGGGCAGCAAATACATTACTTTTGTCCCAAACTCTTATAAAAGTCACATAAATCGTATTGAAGTTGATGCATTAGCTAGCCAGGAAAAGCAGGGACTTTTTTTTTTCCAGCACAGTGTTGTCCTTGCCTCACCCCGTGGTGCCTGGAGCTAGATATATTAGAGCAGACATGTTTTTTTCTGCAGAGGTTTCCAAACACACTGTATATGATCCTGCATTCCAGCTCTAATCAAAGGGTGGCTTTTCTTTTCAGACAGATGTAGGTTACTACATGAGATTTATACCAAAAAAAAAAAAATTTGTAGAAAAATAACTTAGGAAATGAAAGTGAATTAAAAGCCAATTTCATAGCAGTGGGAATAAATACAAGAGCAACTATTAAAACAGAGCACAGTTCCCTTAGGGTCTGTTTGTTGCTACAGGGAGCTGTGATAGGGCAGTTGGGAAGTTAAGCGGGGGGTGCTGGATTCTTTTCTGGGTAGTACTGTAGGTTTAGACCTGTGTAACTGGAAGCTAAGCTTGAAGACAATGTTATCTAGCAGAAATAGCAAATGAATTTTAAAATGAGAATAGAAGAAATGTCCCATTCTTGAAACACCCCTCCCTTTCTGTTTGTTTTGGGGTTTCTTCCTGTGCTTCTCACACCAGCACATCTCTTGCTGACTCAGCAGAGTGCTGGATTTGCTGAATCTGCACAGACATTTCTTTCTGAGCTCTGCACTTGGATGCTGAGCCATTGCAGATGTGACAATCAGAGGCTTATTAGCTGCAGTAGAATCTCAGCCACTCGAGGTGGTGGAAACCTCATTTGCAGAAAGCATCAGATGTTTTGCATGTTATCCCCATTTGCTGAAACTACAGATTTGAATTCAGGACTTCACATGGAAATGCTTTTTCAGGAATTTTTGCACATCTGATTGGTAATGACTCATGAATGTTCTTCCCTCCTCTTAATGTGCTCTGAGTATTGCAGGTGATAGTGCCCCAAGTTTTTCATCACTATTACTTTCTGTGGTCTGTTCCATGAAGTTCTGCCTCTCAATCGTTTTGTGGCAGGCAAGGAAAATCTGTCCATTTTATTTGCAGAGAAGTGTATGAGCTCACCTGTCATGACCAGTGGCTAAAAACTACTTCTGAGTGGAGTCACCACACTGAAGTTGTGTTTAGAGCTCTTAATGCACTTCGTTAGGATGGAATTAACTGAGCATTTCAATATCACATTATGGTAATTAATATTATTTTTAACCATTTCCTTGTTTTGTTTTCATCACTGTTTCCAAATGCCTTTGCAGAGTGTAAGCCAAGCTGTTTGCATGCTTGAAAATCCATACCTCTTACTACACTGTGTAATGTGTATGAAGTCATCTGAGAAAGTTAACTGTTTGGAGCAAGGAGCAGAGGTTGCCTAGGTCCCTTGTTTCTGACATCAGGTGGTGAAGATTTCAGGGTGAAAACCAACATTGAAAACAGCCTTTTCTAGAAGGAACTTAGCTTGAGGTGGATCTTATCAGCTGATCCTTTCCAGTAGGATTTAATCTAATTGTTTAAATAGGGATTATCAGAATAGTTGATACTTCACAGCCCTGGTACTAATGCTGTAACCTTCTTGTTCTCTTTGGCTGTGAATGTCAATCCTTTTATTCTTTTTTAGAGTCCTTTCATTCATTTTTAGCCCAGTCAAACCCATGAGGGGCTTAAGAATATTTCAACCCTAGCCCACTTCCATGTTTGCAAATAGGAAAACATGTTCTGATTCCCAAAGTGGGGCCACAGTTGAATTGATCTGGGATGTGAACATCAGTTTTCTGACTATGCAGTTAGGCTGTGAGGCTTTATAGAAGCTGCAGTGGCTTTGTTTAAATCCACAGCAGTATTACAATATGCCAAGGACAATCAAATATTATTTTAATTACCAGTTGCCTTCAGTTCCAACATGCTTTATTGGGCCATCAAGTAGCTGAGTCCATAAATCTATACATTATAAATCTAATGCAGTAAACACCCCAGAATGGAATCTTAATAGCACAGAAGCTTGAGACAGCTTGCTGTGAAATTTCCATAAATATCTCTGAAGGGGGTGTAGCAATATGAAGTGCATGAGAAATCAGAGTTTAAAAGAAGCAAACCAGCTGGCTTGTGTTACACACCAAAGTGAAACCCACTTATGTGAACAACTGACATGAATAAAACATTGACATGGGGCTGAGCAGGGAAAGCTTCATCTTGTCCAGGAACCCTCACCTTATGGCAATTTCTGTAATTACCCTTTTTATTCAGCAAATCATTTCAGGCTCAGTAAATTATTTTTGATCAACCAGGTTGCAAGGATTGGTCACAAAGTGCTGGAAGTGTGAGAAAACTACCTTTTAGACTGCTAAAACCAACATGGGTCTGTACTAGGCATTAAGGGCATGTGTGCAGGTTTCACAGAATCATAGAATTTTAAAGGGTTGGAATGGCCCTTACAGATCATCCAGTCCCAACCCCCTGCCCTGGGCAGGGACACCTCACTAGATCAGATTGCTCAAGGCTCATCCAGCCTGGCCTTGACCACTGCCGGGGTTGGGGCAGCCACAGCCTCCCTGGGCAACCTGGGACAGTGTCTCACCACCCTTAGAGTAAAAAACTTCTTCTAAGATCTAACCTAAACTTCCCCTCCTTCAGTTTGAACCCATTATCCCTTGTCCTATCGCTGCAGTTCCTAACACAGAGTCCCTTTCCAGCTACTTGTAGCCCCTTCAGATATTGAAAAGTTGCTCTGAGGTCTCCACGCAGTTTGCCATGGAATAGCAAACTGTGTAATATAAGCCTCTCTGACAGCTCAGTATGCACTGGGGAAAAAAGCAAGTTCAAGTGTCTTACTAATATAGTATAAATTAACAGTTATCAGGACAAAAATTACACAGTAGGTAAGGGATCAGCTTCATTGTGCATATAACTTTCCTCCTGCTGGACAGTAAAGGTTGAATTTGGCCCCAAATATGTTTTAAGATAACCTGGTGTGCATTAGAGAAACACAGCACTGTTTCCTCACCAATTTACATTTGGAATTTATATCCCTGTTTCTTTCATCCAGTTTGGTTAAGAAGAGTTGAGATTTTGGCCCCATTTGCTCAAAGTGACAACTGAGTGTAGCCTG